GTTCCTTAGACCTGTGGCGAAGAATGTCTGTGTTCCCTGACGGCAGATTCAATGCTGTGAAATCCTGGGAAGCGATTTTGAGGCCGGTTTCTGACATGCATGTTGCCCCAGTGAAAATCAATCAGCAAGCAGCCCAGCTATCTTCAGCCCAGGCCCACCCAAGCTCCCATCACTCTGCGGAGTAGGCCCACCCCTGTGCAGACTGGGGGGTGGGGCGGCTCTGTGCTGCGCTCAGCCCCTTCCCCCTAGGTTCTTCCTGCTTCCCGAATCCCAGAGGGTACAATCTGGGAAGGGCTCTGTGACCACCATGTACCCACACAGGCTGGGCGTCGCCCAGCAGGCACACCCAAGAAAATATTAACCATGAACCTTCAAAGGGCCCCCCTGAGATATACCGGAGAACCAGGAAACGCCACTCCCAGCAGCACTCTAGCAGAGACAGGAACTTAAGTACAAGCTTCATTCAACTTTCTCTCAACAGGTCACAGCCCAAACACACCCTGGTAGGGATTTGAGAAGAGATACTATAAAGGACATGGAGGCCCAGTCTTCCTGTGTGAATGAACCAATTTGTATCCCTCTGAGGTTTTCAGATGGAGAACAGGACCAGGTGGGTGTGGATGGGGCAGGGGGGTGCAGAAAAGTAAAATGACCCCCTAGGTGACCCACAAATGGTGAGTCTCCTGGAGCCCTGCTGTGTGTGGCTTCAAGCCGGAAGAACCACACTCCTGGAGCTCAGGCTGCAGCTAGACACCTTCGAGCAGGATACATCACTCTTCAGGAAGCATCCAGAGTTTGCCAGAAAAACCAAAGCACTTCTAATGTAGACCCGATAACCTCCAAACCTGAGAGCTATCTAACATCGCACAACAAAACCAACAGTTGGAGCTGAATTTTATCTAGCAATAAAGTAGAACACTGCTTGAAGGTCATGATTAAGATTTTTGAATCAGTTGCTTTTTGTTTTGTATCATGTTCTGATAACCTTTGCCAAATTTCAATAAACACATTACTTTCATTTTTGATCTTTGTATTAGAAAATCAATAAAAGCCTTCCTAAAAAACAGCTTCTAGAATCTTGCTCTTAAGAGTAAAATTTAGTTATTCTAAATTGCTGTGTCTTTCTTCAGTTTAATTTTGGCCGTTTTCTTAAAACTCTAGCTCAAAGGAGCACTTTTCAGACTGTTTTTGCAATACCTAAGGAAATGATTAACCAATTTCTTCTTTCCTAAAAACACCACTTCTTTGCAAAACAAAACAAAACAAAAAGTCAACAAAACTGCTTAAGACAGCAAAATTTATTTCAAAGAGAGAGAGTTCATTCATTTTCTGGGTGGAGTACTTCAGGGCGGAAAAAAAGAAGAAAAAACCACACACACACACACACACACACACGTAACCTAGGGGAAGTAAAAAAGGCAAAACAGGGAGGAAGGCAGCTGATCAGGAGGGCAGGGCGGGGGCTGTTTATTGGGGAGAATGTTTCCACAGGTACAGCCACTCCCAAAATCGTGGAGAGGGCAGGGGCTTAGGGCAAGGTACAGGAGAAACCCAGTTCCAGGGAGAAAAAGCCACCCAGCCGAGGTCCCATAACTGCAGGCACCGAGCTGGCCAATGGGGCCAGCAGGGCGCAGTCACGCCAAATTAGGAGAACAGACCGGAGGGGGGGAGGGTGCCCTGGGCCTCGCCGGCATTCTTAGAAAGGGCCCCGGCTGCCAAGGTGTCAGGGCCCTCCCACATGGCCAGCTTCCTTGGGAAGCCGCTCCACTCGGCTCCCACACCACCCGCGAGGGGTGCAGCCTGCCTGGTCTCTTGGGGAGGGTCCCAGGGAGGAGAGGAAGGGCAGGCCAGGGCTGTTTGTAAATACTCGGGCTCCTCCCCTACAGTGAAAAGGATCTTGGCAAGCAAAACCTCAAGGGCGTCTAAAACACTCAGCTGCATTCCACAGTGCTAAGATAAACGGATGTAAACAGAAACCCTTTTGGTGACACTTAATTAAAGGCCAAAAAGTGAGAAAGCCTGTCCCAAAGTTATTACTTTCTCTGCAAATATTTCACTAAATTAAAACAAGCAGCCCTCAAATAAAAGGACAGAGTGGGGACAGTGCCACCCCCACCTGACCGACTCCAGCCCCAAGAGCAAGTTAAATATAAACGGAGTGGAGCTGCGGCCTCAGTCATCACACCACAGCCTGATTCAGAACAGCTCCGGCAACACCTGCTAATTCTGCTTCGTAAAAATATCGTCTGAACTCCTTTAGGAACCACGGCCTTCCTTCTAACACAAAAGCAACTTCAATACGCAGAGCTCTCTCTGCTTGAATAGTAGCCAACCAGTTGGCTACTATTTTTATTTGGAATATGACTGGGAAATACATATATTTATATTATGAAGCCCTCCGGGTACTAACCCAAACATTTTTCTCCTTCAAAAGTGTCTACTTGGCTGGGTTACAAACTGAATGTTAATAATTCAGTGCTTTTCACTGGATGTGGATGGAAGGCCCTTCACTGTCCCCCTCACAGAGCACAGGACATGGTTCTCACAAGCCCTCGGCTTCCGGCAGTGTGCGGAACACTGTGGAATGTTCCTGCAGCGGCTTGAAAGTGCTGTGGATAAAGTGTCACTACATGTGTTTTTATCAGCTTCACTGAGACCAACTTCACGTACTGTGTATGCCATCCACCCATTTCACGTGTACAACTCAGTGGTTTTCAGTGTATCCACAGAGTTGTGGAACCATCACCAGTGTCTAATTCCGGAACATTGTCAGCGCCCCAGAGAAAGCCCCTCACGGGCAGCGGTCTCTCCCTTCACCCGCCCAGCCCAGGCAGCCACTTGCCTGCTTCCTTTCTCTAGAGACTTGCCTGTTCTGCACATTTCATATGGAGGAAATCCTACGATGTGCGGTCGGCTGTGCCTGGCTTCTTACATGCGGCATGTTTTCAAGGACCATCCACACTGAACCAGGTATCAGTGCTTTTTATGGCTGAACAATATTCCATTGTAAGGACAGCCCATGTTTTATTTATCCACAGACAATAGCTGGCAGACATTTGAGCTGTTTCCACCTGGGGCTATTATGAATAGACTAATGTTGCCATGAACCACTGTGTTCGTGTTTTCACATCGCACGGACCTTAGGACCCAGTGAGCTGCTGGCTCCTGTGGTAACCCTCTGTTTAACACTTGGAGGAACTGCCAGACTATTTTCCAAAGTGGCTACATCCTTTTAATACCTATAATTTTTCTTTTACCTATGTATAAGTTATACACATATAAATAAATGTAAGAGCATTTTCATAGCACAACTAAACCGTGAACTCAAATGGAGTTCTCATGTTTTACGTGAAATACAAGTTAGGTGTCTGAAAAAGCAGTGAGATCGATCACATGCTAACTTTTGGGTTTTAGAATGGAGGTATTGCTAGAAATCTGAAATGAGCTTAAGAAAAAAGTCCAAGTAAAGAGCGAGTAAAGTCATGTGTGCCCCGTGCTAGCACAGGGCCCAGCACACACGAGGTTTTCAGCAGTTATGTCTCATCATCCTCATCATCACAGACAACGGTGAGGAAACGTAAGGAGTGCTGAGTGCTGGCCGCAGAGAAAGGCTGCGAACTTCACGGACGAGACAAAACACGGCCCCACGAGGCTGCAGGAACCTGCCCCTGCTGCCCGCAGCTCTCCCAGAACCAGGACTCAGGCCCCGATGGAGCTCTGGGCCATGCCACTCTCACGGCTGTCGTGTCCCCTGTCCCCACTCTGCAGGACAAAGACACACCCACTCAGTGGCTTTGGAGGAACGGGCTCTAAGCAACTCCACGTAAACACTTCCCAGCACATAGCCAGCATGTCCGGGAGGAAAACAAAGGGCACAGTGACTCGCAGACTATTACCCAGGAGTACCCAGCACCTGATCCCAAATGTGAACTCGAAAAGGTGTAGAAACAGGGACCGCCAAGTGTGGTGGTGGGCAGGACAAGGACCTTGTACCTGGTGAGATGGAGGGATAGCAAAACTCCAGCTGTTAGGGCAGCGGGTTTCCCAGCGGGGTTCACAGAGGTGCCCGGGAACCCCTGAGACCCTTTCCAGTGAGGCTGGAACCATTTTCACAACCATACTAAGACTCGGGTTTGCTTTCTCCACCGCGCTGACATTGGTACGACAATGCACAGCCCTGGTGGGAGCTGCTGCTGGTGCGCTGCGGCAGCCACCGAGGCACCAGCCCCGAATGCACTCACGGTCACGGCACCTTCAGGTCACACACACAGTAAAGGGGGAAAGCCAGTTTCATTTTAAAACGTCCTTAGTGAAGCAGTAAACTATTTTAAAAAATGATGAACTCTTGTCCCTCAACCACATCTTTTCACTATGCTTTATGACAAAACGGGAGGAAGACGGAAGGAAGGTGGCCGTCACTGGAAATACTCGTGCCACTGAGAGCTGACAGCGCGACGCGTCACCCTTCACACGGACCTCAGGCTCCAGGTTTCCCCTGAAGCCTCCCCCCACATCTGTAACATGCCGAGGATGAGAAAGTTTGGGGGTTTTCCTTTCTTCAAAATCGAGATTAATTTCTAAAACTTCGCAAAGAATTTCCACAAATAAATTGTAGAAAAACAAAGTTCACCAAATACTGGTATACAAAATACTACTTTAAAATATTTTCAATGCCTTAAAAAAAATCATACCTGTTCTTGCTTTCAAAGGCCCTCGCATACAAAATTTCCACTGGAAAAGTGATAAATTAGGTAGGGATTCTTCCCTTCACAGGAGAATTCTCCAGAGACTCATTTAAGGAGTCAGGTCCCCTGACGCTCTCAAAATAGTTTCAAAATTTCCATTCACATGCAATTTTCCAGAAACATATGTAACACTGTATAAAACACAGAACATCTGTGCCATTTTCCTCCTTGTCAGACAAACTGCTAGAGCACAGGGACCCAGTTTTGGAGAGGGGCTGGGTGGCGAGCGCTCTGGCCGGACACAGGGCTGCTTACCTGATGGTGCCGGTGGGGGAAGGGACAGGGCTGACCAAGCTCCGGAGGTCCGGCTCCGGAATGTGGATCCTCAGGGGGGAAATCTGCGGGTAGAGTGGCCGGAGGGGCGACGCCGGGGCCTCTTCTTGGTGGTACAGTGATGTGAACTGGATCTTGATGGCCGTGCTGGGGAACCGAAAAGTGCACCTGCAACAGGAGGAGAGCGGGGTGTCAGGCACAGGGAACAAGAAGGCCAGAAAGCCAGGTCAGTCCAGGAGCGTTCTAGTCCATCCAAAGCACGGTAACCCGCCACTCAGCTCTCACGGCCACTCCGTGGCTCATGTGCTACAATCCTATTTCCTATGCTCTCATCAGGATGCTAGCACTGACATCAGTTTTCTTTTTACTGCGCATGTGAACAGAAGAGACAGAAATAGCCCCAGACAAATACCTATGATGTCATCTCCAACAGAGGTTCCAGACAGAGCCACTTCCTGTCTGCTGTGATCACTGCTGTCACACCGCGTGGGACTCGCTGCCCCACAGAGAGTGCTTGTTGGGAAACTGACACCATGAGCACCGTTTATGCAGCAATTTTAAAAGACTGAGAAGATATGGAGCAAATGGTGCATGACCAGCTAGCAGCAACACTACCCATAAGCACGCCGCAGGAGCTCGAAGAGTGATGGCTGGACGAGCACAGTTTAACAGGCTGGCTTCACAATTAGTTCTGGGCTTACGAGCCGAGAGCCTGCCCTTTTCTGCTGGCAGATGACTGACCGCACACGCACAAGCATGGCGCAGGCGAGCTGCAGGCAGCCTCACGTATCACGTGTATGCGAACCCAAGGGCATCTACCTCTACAAAACTTGTACCTACAAAACCTGGGCATGATTTATTCAGCACACCTTCTAGAAATCTGAGTTGACAAGTTACCAACCAGCTGCTAACTGCATGACTTAGTTCAAACCAAGAACCCAGATTTGAAAGCAGGAGGCCCACACAGTGACGAGCGACACAGTCTACCTGTAGCAACTACTTAGAAAAGGCTCTTTATAAAAAACGGGGAGGGAGACTTAGAAATACTGTACACAAACATCCACCTTCAGCGCACTTTTAATGGTTTCAGAAAGGCATCCAGATCATGCCAAGTGATTTAACACGAGAAGCGCTGGGGCTTTTCACGGCGGCAGGCTGCTTGGTCCACGCCTGCCCGCTTTTTAAATTCAGTGGCAATGTTTAAACAGCCAGTCTACGCCAACCTCCCGCGGATATGGCAAACACCCCCTTCGCCTGAATTCTCTTTCTTAGTAAAATCATTTTTAAAAAACAAGATTTCAGAATAGGTCAAATAGGTTCTGAGGTCATGATTGGTGGAGAATGGGTACCCCTGTGCCTTCCCCTCGGGGAGAACCACTTCTCTCGATATGACTCAGCAATAGATGCACCTGGTCTGAAAGCCGCCTGTGTCTCAGGGGAGAGCAGTAACTCAAACTGGCTCGACTGGCCAGTACTGATTCTTCCAGATACCGAGCAGAGGGGCTGCCACGTTGTCACACAGGTGGAGCCTGGCAGCCGGGCGTGGAGCAGCGGGACGTAGTCTGACCTACAGGCACTGGGTTTCTATTTCCAAACCTAAAATTGGAACAAAGGGATTTTGATACCGTTTTCCGAAACTGCTTTCCTGTTTGCTGCTGTTTTGCTTCTGGGAGATGGGATAGGGTGGGGTGTCTGTAGTGTGTAGTCACCATCACCCCTATGGGTCTGCTTAAAGGGCTACCCAAGGCTATTCAAAAGAATTCTGCAGTTTTCTTCTTGTAAGCCATAGTTAAAGAAACACTTCATGTCCTTTCCACTTCCTTTCGTTTCCCCACACCCAACTGAAGTTTCCTCCATCAGTATTCAGGCTAGAAAGTCACACCACACATTCTCCTAAGATGCTTTCTGTGGCCTATGGTCTCTCCAGACCTGGAGGCCTGTCTGCTTTTGTAAGTCACAGAGCCGACACCCATCCCAGCTCATGTCCTAGGAAGGGCTGGCAGTCCCCAAGTGGAGAAGGAATGAGAGTTTGGAGCCACACAGGTGAGCTGAGCCAGGCCAAGGTGAGCTCTGCTTGCGAATGACAGGACAGAATGAGCAGTGGGGGTGCGCACGCACATACACACCTGTGCTACAGTGTTCGATGTGAAGGCAGTGGTACTGACAAATATTTAAAGACAGTTTCTATGGCCCTTTGCCATCTGTCTCTCCTTCAACTGCTGCAAATGGACAAAACAAGCCTCATTTTACTATCTGCCTAAGGGGCCACAGTTAGAGTCCCCGTGTCACTATGAGATCATACCCTACTACAATCATCCAGGACCCGAGAAAGAGGATGTGGCTTCAGGCCTATGCCAGAGGTCATCACAAGGCAGACAGGGAATCTTATAAACGGTTTAGGGTGAAGACAAAAGATGGCGCAGGCCCCAGAGGGAAGCGCTCCAGCCTGGGCACCTGAAAATCGGGTTCCAGCCACAGCCTGTGTGGCCTTGGGCGCAGGTGAGGAGAGAAGCCGTGGGAGCAGGCCATTTGAGACTGCCCCTTGTCCCTGCCCTCCACTTCTCAACCTGACTTCTGCCTTCAAGTCCCAGCTGAGAGTCACCCACTTGTGAGCGCTGTGAGGCGTGGGGACCTGCTCCCAACATAGGCAGCTACTGTGGAGGCAGGAGGGCAGCTGGACCCGCTCACCCGACCTCCTGGGGTTCTGCGTTCTTAGCTGACAAAAGGGGATGCTCCCAACAGAAAAGGTCACCCCTAAGGTCCTTTCCAGTTCCCCAAACTAAGGCTCCAGTTACTACATGCACACAGGTTGAGCTTTCAGTCAAATCAAGCAGCATTAGGCCAGGGCTGTGGGCACAGCACCAGCAGGAAAACCCAAACAGCTGATAACTGGTACTAGCGGGATCAGTTCCTACTGTAAGAGTAATTTTCCAATTAAGGCTTAACAATGAACATTTTCATGTTATTTATTGCAATAGCTATTTCAAAAGCATCTCCTGACTCACTCTTTCAAAAATTATCCTGATGCAGACTTTCTCCTACCCAGGAGGAGGAGAAAACACCAGGAAGCTACTTAATTTTGAATACGTATCTCCCCAGGGTGCTGGCAGCCTTTGCCAATTATTCTCCTAGTAATATTTTCATTCTGGTTTTGGGCCCTTGCTGGAGTTTTAATGAGCATGTTTTGCAATTAAAGTTGTTCTCTTGAAGGTGCTCCGTATTCGCCCTAAACCCAGCCACACACCTGCCTCTAGCGCAGGATGCCTGTATGGGCGGGCCAATTATGCACGCTGGGGGCCGCCCAGCGCCGGGGAGGCTCCGGAAGAGCCAGCTGGGCTGTTGTTGGAAGGCAACACCGTCAGAGCTCTACAAAATTCTCGCTCTGATTTAGAGACGGAAAGTAGTTTGGTAGTTGCGTGGGCTGAAGCTGGCGGTGAGGGGTAGGGTGGGGAGTGGAGACCCACTGCGTGCCAATGGGCATGGGATTTCTTTTAAGGGTGACACACATGTTCTCGAATCGACTGTCGTGATGGCTGCACAACTCTATGAGTATTCTAAAAACCACTGACTTGAACAATTTAAATGGGTTAGTTGTAGAATATGTGAATTATATATCCGTCAAGCTGTTTTTAAAGAACATTCTTGCCCTAAAGCTGCCACACTGGGGTCTGCTCCAGGCTTGGACATTTCCCAAAGGTGTGGGACGGAGCTGGCACAGCCTCGGTCCCATGTGGGGCTGCTGTGTTCAGTCCCAGGTCAGAGATCACTGCACGGAAGGCTGGGTCTGGCCCTGCTTGGCCAGTAAGGAGCCTAAGTGGCTTGGGCCGTCACATCCCTTCCATCTCGTCCTTAAATAGGGATCCCGCCACCTGCCCTACCAACTGAGAAGTTGTCAGAGAATAAAATAACCCATTTATTCCTCACTGATATAAATAAAAATATGTAAGAGAAATCAACTTCATCCTTGGTATTTTGACCTTTGTTATAAAAACCAGACCTAAATCCTAACTCTAAACTGCTAAAGTACTCCCTATGGAGAATGGTTGAATGAACTGTGGTGCATATTCCATATGGAGGAATATTATGTGGTCATTTAAAAGGACACTTTTCAGCACTGTGTATCTTTGGGCAAATCTCTTAATGCATCAGCCCTGTTTTCCTCATCAGGACAATTGGGTAATTATAGTAGATACTTCACAGGGTTCTTGTGAGCATTCAATGAAACAGTCGAAGCACAAACATCAGAAGCACACACAGCACCAGCATCTAACACACACTAAACTGGCCCATGGCGGAATGTGAAAATGAGTGGCACACTGACACGTGAAAATGGCAGAGACCAGATGGTACAGGTCGCAGCTAAAGGTGTGGGATTAGAAATCAGACAGATGTGGTTTGAGAATGGGTTGCAGAGGCAGTGTGTTGGGGGGGGGGCACCAGGGCAAGTGACCGAATCTCAGGCCCCTTGCTGGCCTCCGTGCAGCAGGAGCCCAGAGGCAGTGACAGCAGGCTGACAGTAGGCCTGGCACACAGCAAGTGGCCAGGCATGTGTTCCAGTTGTTTATTAAACAAGGACAGGACAAGGAATGACAACAGCCCCAGGGTCAGGGTGGTGGTACCGGAGACCTCTCTTTTGTCCAAAAGGTTCTTTAAATGTTGTTTCCATGTCCTTTAAGACATGAAAAACTCTAGGGAAAAAAAAGCGATTATATTTTGCAGGGTGCGATGAGTCTTTTACGACCCCTCTAAACTCTGGTTAAAACCCCAGAGTTTTAACCTGGCCCAGTTCTGCTGTGTGGTTCGGCTCCACGGGGAGGGAGAAAGCCCATGGGGCCCAGGCCCAACCTAAGTGGTGGAAAATGCTCCCCAGGCCTCTAAGATGCTGAAGGAAAGGCTGGGAAGCCAGCGAGCGTGACTCACAGACAACCAGCAAGGCCCTTCATGGCCCTCCCTTCCTGCCGCCTTCCAGCCGTCGTGCAATCAGGCGGCTTTCCTGGGGTGGGCCCCGGACCACAGGCAGCTCGCATGTATGTAAGGTCTGAAATTAGAACGCCCAGAGGCACCAGTGGCTCTGAGTTCTGTAAGAACTCCAAAGAAAAATAAGACTGTTCAGGAAATGGTTTTGAAAAAAACTTTTATATATAAAATCCCCAAATCAAAGCATTCTT